AACTCCTAAGTAGCTAGAAGCAAAATTTGCCAGTGTCAAATTGCCACATCAGTATATATGATAGTGTAAAACATTTGGCCAGTATATAGCAGGAAAATGACCACTTTGGAACCGTGAAGGGAAGTGCTTCATGGATCTGTGTAACATTTACGGTCTAAACTTTAGGGAACTTTTCCTGTGGGGACAAGTATGCCTCTGTGCACAGAGGGAAAATGAAAGACAGGAACCACTTCTGGTTGTTTATCACTGTCTGTACCCTGGAAAAGAAACCCTAGAAGAAAACCTACCTGGTTTAAAACCTCCCCAGTGAGAAAAAGTGGCCAACAGCAGTGAGGAAATCAGACGCCTGTTGCATAGAGAGAAGGCAGCTTGAGAAAAGACTGAGTTCAGGACTCAGATCCCCACACTGCTGCTCTGACCTAGGGGACAACCTCTACTCACATATTCAACAGACAGTCATCACCAGGCACTGGAGTCCTTGTACCTATAAAGTGAGAGACCAGACTAAATGTCTGTTAAATCTCTTGCATTTTGAGATTCTGTGGTTCCAGACAGTTTTATTTATATATTGCAGTTATGGTCAGCAAATGATTAATACTTTGTCCCCACCCACTTAACTTTTGCATGGCTAAGGTGGTCCTTTCCGATTTTCAGCATCACAGAACACATAGACTTTGCCACTCCAATACAGCAGCCAGCAATGGAACCTGTTTGCAATGGCAATCTCCCCACGAGCATGCACACCCTGGACCACTTGCAGGGGGTTTCCAACCGAGCCAGCCTCCACTACACGGGGGAGAGCCAGCTAACAGAGGTGAGTGTCAGCTGTACTCAGCCCGTCTGTAGCTTTTGCCGTACAGTTACGATGCGGCTGATAGCGAAAGCGCGAGTGGCCAGGCCAGGTTTTTTTTTGCCTTTTTCAGATGACTGTTGTCTAGATGGCTTTAGGAAAAGCCTGATTTCTTTCAGGCCCTGTGACTGAACGTATGCTTTTTTTATGACCAGGAAATTATAATTCTGATTCATTCTTCCAGATGGGTAGCATTCTGCTTGTCACTGGACAGAGGCTCTTTGTGAGAAATATTTGGGACAGTTAATTCTCCTGCTGACATTCTTAAGGGAGGGGAGGAGGGCAGGCTCAGCATGTATCTAGCAAAGAGTGTACCCAGAAAAATAACCAGAAAACATGCCACAAATATCCAACAGTAGAGGATGTGTTAAATAAGTTTTGGTGTAGATATAAGCTAGTATACAATAAGAGCCACTAAGAAAGATGCGTGAGAAATACATTTATTGACATGAAGAAATTTCTTGATTGTATTGTGTGAAAATGTAGGTGATAGTTACAGTGCGATCCCATAGTATCCAGTCTGTGAGAGTAATGCTATATGTGTACATAGAACAATATCTGAAAGATGCGTAAGAGGTGCTAACAGTGGTTGTGTCTGGGTGATACGATTACAAGCGCTTTTGTTTTCTTCATGCACTCTACTTTTTGTAATGCTATAATGAATGTGTTTTCTTGCCTATAACCTTTGTTAAGTTAGAGGGCTGAGGGGATGTAATGGCCTTCAGTTTGTGTTCCACAAAATGCCTTACCAACAGGACCAGAGCGGGCACCCCCAGAGATCAGTCCGCACCCACGGCGCAGGGCCCAGCCCCGTGTCAGCAGCGTCGGCTGACCTCCCTCATTTTCGTTCCTCTAACCTGTCATCTCCCTCTCTGTACCAGGTGTTGCAAAATCTTGGCAAAGACCAATATCCACAACAGTCACTTGAACAAATTGGCACCCGAATTGCCAAAGTTTTGGAAAAGGTAAGTCACTCTGTAGGAAAGCTGTCAACTGTTACCCACTTTGTACTTTTTCCCAGTTATTTGCCATTAGTGGCCCTAACCTCTTCAGTTAGTTATTTAGCACTTGGTAACTAAAAGGATAACATGAAACAACCCCACACAGAATATTTTAATCATTTTTCTGTGACTTTTTCTGTTACGTGGTTACTGTTCTTTTTTGCTGCTTTGTTTACTTTCTGTGCTTAAATTTATGTGGTCAGTTTTCTCATTTTTAGGCTACCATGGATAGATTCAGGTAATGCTACTAAGAACTTCGGAATCCAGGTATAAGAAATAAGTCAAAGGTTCATCTTCTGGTGATAAAGAATATTTAGTAGTTTGGATCATGGATGGGAACCATATCTTGAAATATCTTTTTTCTGAAGTCATGAAACAGAATATTTGCAAAACTTTGTTTTCTTACTTTATGGTTAAGAATCTATCCACTTATCATTATATGATATTGAAGAGGTGATATAACAGTGATTAAAAGAGTCTACTCAACTTCCAGTATGACCGCGGCAATATGGTAGGGACGGGTAATCATGTCAGTTTAAAGGAGAGGAAGTGCAGACAGCCATCACTATTCCATGGCAGTTCTGAAATTCACATGGCCAGTTGTCACCAGTTCCCCCAATTCCAGGGTAGGAAATACTCCTTGAATAGGTCCTGTTTTGGTCCCGTGGGGGTGGTTTCCTATTCTTTTTCTCATTTCTTCTCTCTAGGCTGCCTTTCCTTTTCCTTAGAAGTGTCCTGTGTTTGCAGCTGAAGAGCTTCCTCAGCCTGCTGCCTGTATATCCTTGGCACAACTTTGTAAAACTTTGTGGACTTTCAGATTACAAGCCACTCAGAGAGGCAAAAGCCACGCCCACAGATCTCTTCAAGAGACCCCTGTCTGCTTCAAACATGAATCCAGGACAATACCTTTAAGATTCTTAGATGCCTTTTGTCTGACAGTCTGTGAGACTTAAATCAAGATGCAGATCTTTCTGAGGTGGTAGTAACAGAGGGTCTTACTGCTGTGTTTTTGATGTGATCTCAATCCTGAGGCCATCGTTTCACTGGTAGCATCTGGATTTGATTTCTTTTTTGTCAAAACCTTGTGCTGACTGGAGAAGCTAGTAATTGAGACGAAGTTTCATTTTCTAACCCTGCAAGTCCCAGTTTGGAAGCATTTTCTCTAAATTCTGCTTGAAAATTGTGCAGTTCCTTGTTTAGTTCTCCTCTTTTAATGCTTTTTTATGGGTGATATTTAAAAAACCATTTGTCACTTTCAGCGTTCTTCCTCAAAGCCTCCCTAGCCAGCTCCACAACATCATTAGGTATTTTCCTATATTCCAGATAGAGCCTCACTGTTTGTCTTGCCAGCAGATGATGATGCCTCTCCTCCAGCCTGCAGGAGCAGTTTCCTCAATGCTCTTCCAACCTTCATTAATGTTCTTTTTGCTGTTCCTTCAGCAATATCCTCAACCCATTCTCCAGACTGCTGTCAGCATGCTCTAAGTTTCTATTATGGCAGCACTCTATTCTTGATACCAGATATTGTTTTCAGTTATCTTTTTTGCTTAATTAGGCCAGAATTGAGTGGCTTAAAACAAAACTATTACTTGCTCAAGACCCTGCAACCTGAGCTGGACTTCCTTCTGATCTGACTTGGAATCATCCATGCAACTACAGACATACGGAGACTCAACTGGGGCTGGCCACCAAAGAAATCTGGAGTGATTGGAATAGATGGGGCACAGCTATATATTGTCTCTCTCCAAGCAGACTCTCCAGCAGAGAAGCTGGACCTTTTTATCTGTTGTCTCAGGGCTCCAAGAGACTGAGAGCAAAAGCATCCAGGCCTTTTAGAATCCATGCAGAGAGCTGGAACAGCAGTGCTTTTACGAGTTCCATCCGTCAAAGCAAGTCCCAGGGCAAGGGAGATATCCTTCACCTGCTGGTAGTGCAAAGACTGGCCCATCTTTAATGGTGGATCTTTAATCCACCACAGTGCCTTTCAAAAGGAGCAACAATAAAACTGACAGCTTCTCAGTGGAAATGGTAAAACTAGAAGCCAATGTAATGACATATTTAAGGTACTAAAAAAGAAAACTGCAAACCTAGAATTCTTTTCCAGCAAAAATATTCTTTAGAAATTAAAATGAAATAGATATGTGTTCAATAAAAATTCAGAGACCTTGGCACCAGTAGGCTTGCACTGAAGTAAAAATTAAAGGGAGTTCTTCAGAAAAATGATCCCAGACAGAAATATGGACATGCCAGAGGGAAAGGACACTGGAAAGAAAATAGAGATGAAGACTAATTGTACAAAACGGTAACTGTGCTCCTCTGAGGAGCTTCACCTGTATCTGTAACTAAGATTCATGGAACAGTAACAGAAACGACAGCAGGGAAAGAAATGGAGTTTAAAAGTTCTGAGTTTTCATTGGTATCGGCCAAGTCGTAAAAGAACGTTTGCACTGGACTGTAGTAAGAATGTGTGTTTTAAGTTCCAGGCTAACTACTAAAAATGGTTTTAAAATGTAATTCAGTGGAAGGAAAATGAAATAATGTAAAACATTTGATTAATCCAAAGAAAATTGAGACAGGTAAAAAGTACATAAAAATAGACCACAGATAGTAAAATAGTAGATAAGTATATCATTAGTTAGCTTCAGAAAAGATTTATAATTAAAGCATTTTGTATGGAATGGATTTTTTTTAAAATGCAGAACTATATGCTGCTTATAAGAGAAACTCTTCAAATATTAGGACACAGAAAGGTTGAAAATACAAAGATGAAAAATACATCATACAAACAAGAAAAAAGAAAAGCAGATACAGCTACACTCTTTATTTAAAAAAAAAAAATTGAAGCAAGAAACAGAGTTAGAAGGGCTGAAATGGAAAAGATTGATAATACAAATTTTCGAGGTGATATGGAGCAACCTGAACGCTGATACGTTGCTAGTGAGAATATAAAATGGTACAGTTATTTGGAAGACAGTCTGATAGCTTATTAAAAAGCTAAGCATATATGATCCAGTAATTTTACTGCCAGGTACTTAATCAAAAGTGAAAGTGTTAGTCACTCAGTCATGTCTAACTCTTTGCAAGTCCATGTTCCTCTGATTCTCCAGGCAGGAATACTGGAGTGAGTAGCCATTCCATTCTCCAGGGGATCTTCCTGACCCAGAGATTGAACCCAGGTCTCCTGCATTGCAGGCGTATTCTTTACTGTCTGAGCCACCGGAGAAACACCATGAAAACTATGTCCAAAAATACTTGTTTAAAAATGTTCACGGCAGATTTATTTGTAACAGCCAAAAACCTGGAATCAGATACCCATCAATAGGAGAATTGATAATCAGTGTTATACTTATACAATGGATACTATTCTAAAACACCCTATATCCATATTGATGAATCTCATAAATATTGTGCTATTAAGTCACTGGACACAAAAAAAAACGTATGGTGTATGATCCCAACTATACAAATTCTAGAACAGGCAAAATTAACCTCTGGTGGTAGACATCAGAAGAGTGATTGCTTTGTCAGGGGAAGGAAAGCAGCTTGAAAGGACTTTCTGGAGTGTTGGAAGTTTTCTGAGTCTTTAAGTAATAATCAAAACTGAATGTTATTCCTAAGGTCTGAGCATTTCTATTATACCTGGATTTTTAAAAATGAAGTTTAGATAAAGGTTTTAGACCACCAGAAACTGAAAGATACATGTTAATCAACAGACTTGCATTAAAAATCACTGAAGGGATTTTTTTCAGGCAGAAGGAAAACTATTCCAGGTAGAAACTCAGAAAAACAGAAAAAAGCAAAGAAAATACAGCAAGAGTAAATATTAAGGTATATGTAAATAAGTATGTTGATACTAAATAACAACAGTACTGTCTTCTGAGGTTATAGTTCATGGCAAAAGCAATACGAAAGGCAGAAAGGAATTACACTGACTGCTGTAGATGGTCTTAGATCCAGTTAGACATTTTATACTCATGTAATTGGCCTCACTTAGCGTGGGCTTCACTCAGAAGGATTAAGGGGCCAGGACACCACAGCAGCAGCCGACTCGTACCTCCAGAATAAGCACTTACTTAGGCCAGGGCTGTTCTCTGCCCACCTTCTTTCCTGCCAAGTGACTTGAGGTGCGAGGGAGCAAGTCAGATGGTTAGAAGTGAGGACTGCCCTGACATAATGCTCTGAGTCCCATACGAGAACGAGTGTCTTCTGGAATAGCCCCACACGCACAGAGCAGGGACACAGTCCGCCACAAGAACCATGGTACTTAGAGGCTCCCGGCTGTGGCTTTCCACCAGGGGCTTCGAGTTTTTCCCAGTCTTTCTTTTTTCTAATGGAAATGTTTCTATAGGCTATACATTTTACCAATTATACTGAATTACAACTTTATTTTAAAATTTTATAATTATAAAATTTTAGCAGTAGACTTGCAGTGAAACATGTCACAAGTGGTCAAGATAATTCATAATTCTCTGTGACGACTTCACTTGAGAATTTTCTTACCATCCTAAACATTAAGGGCAACAGTATGGTTAGAAGTAAAAAAATAACTTTCAGTGTTGATAGAGAGACACACATTTGGTAAACAGTTCAGTTAAATTAGTGGGGTTGATCTTACAGGTCCAGATGGTTGGGTCAGCTGCCTACCATCACTGTTGTCTTCTCATCCTAGGGTGGGTCTACGTTTTGGGGTCAGCAGCCCTTACTCTCGACCAGTTTAAAGCAGAGGCTGTTCTTAAGTGAGAAACAAGAATTCCAGAGACAAGTCGCTTTAGTTTCACTGTGCATGAGCTAGTTAAGAGCACCTGGTAATGGTCCTTTTATCTGGGATAGATACAGTCCTTTAAAGGATGCCTTTTCCAGTATGCATAATCTGGCTGAAGGTCATGGGGCATTTGATCTTCATCCCAAAATTAGAACCTTGTGATAAGCTGATAAGGCTGTTGGGAACGTGCATGCATATGCATGCAGTGTCCCTCGGTTGTGTCAGACTCTTTGTGACCCCATAGACTGTAACGCACCAGGCTCCTCTGTCCATGGGATTTCCCAGGCAAGAGTACTGGAGTGGGTTGCCATTTTTGCCTCCACTCTTTTCCAGTCTCACCAGTCCAGTTACAGTGTACCAAGGTCGTTTGTACTGTAAGCTGTCTTGCCTGGTGACAGCTAACGTTTCTCCTTTATTAGGTCTTCAGAGAAATAGGGCTAGAAGGTAAATCCAACATGAGATTTCATTATAGGCTCACAGACCAACCATGACCTTATTAACTTTTTAGCACAGTAGATCTCGGACTTTAGGGTACACCGCAGTCACCTGGAGGACTTGTTAAAACCTATTGCTAGGCTTCTGTGACTTCACTTACTGATTTAGTAAGTCTAGGGTTGGGCTTGATAACTTACATTTCTCATAAGTTCCCAGGTGATTCTGGGTGATGTTGCTGATCAGAGGATCACACTTAGAAAATAGCAGTGATAACAAACCAAAAGCACACTTTTCCCATTTACCTTTCACAAAAAAACAAGGATCTCCATGTCCTCTCTGCTTCAACTTTTAAAATACTTAGTCATTATCCTTTATTATTTCTTGAAAAGCCCATCTGTAGTTGTCTCTTTGGAGAGGTTTTAGTTTGCATTACCATAATTACCAGTAAGTGTCAGCAGATGACAGTGGTCAGACTCCATTTTAGGGTTCAGTCATTATGCACGTTCAGACCCCTCAAAAAGCTGCCCAGCTTGCAGCCGAGGTTACTCTCAACGTGGTAGCCTCTGCCGAGGTCTCAGCTGTGGTGCCAGAGGCACAGCACGCTCCCGCCATTGCCGTTGCAGCCAGTTTGTTTGCCAGGTGGCCACATCGTCCTGTTTGGCCTTGTAGGCTAGTGCAGAAGTCGTTCTCCCATTTTTGTCCCCCTGTTCTTTAGGGGGTAGCTTGTGAGCCCTACTTTGTGCTGGTTGGATCCCCGGCCAACCCAACTTGGGTCAGAGCCAAGCTGCTCCACCGCCTTGTCTGATCCAGACCTCGTCACAAACGTGGAGTCTTGAGTCTATGTGCTTGTCTCCTGCCCACCCTTGTCAGGCATCAATGCCTTCTTTGGCTCAAATGCATCAGCTACACCACAGATACACTGATCTTGCCAGTCAGCCCATTTTCAACCAGGTTTCTGGTCAGCTCCCATTTCATGGAAAGAGGGATGTTTTCTCTTAGCATAAGTTTGTCTCCAGCTTTCATCCATTCCTACAAGGGGAAGATTTATCCCCTGTCACACAGTATCAAGCCTTTGCCATTAGACTCTGAGAAAGTTAGCCCCCACTGAGGCTTCAGTCTTACCAGCATCTTCCTCCCCATTCCATTTGTGTCATGGTGCTTTGGCCATATTGAACCAAGGATTGAAAGTCTGTTCCATTGATGCTACCACTCTGCAATGCACACTGCCTCTGGTTTGAAGGGCAGCTCGACAGATACTTCGTGTTTTGCACAACCCAGTAGAGCAGTTGTCCTGCTTTCACTCTGGAGACTACAGAACGCATAGCAAGCCAGCAGGGCAGCTCTTCATGTGTATAACCAAGAGTTCCCATAGCTGTCTGACAGCAGTCCTGGGGACTTCTCTACTCCAGCCCCCCAGTCGACAGCTCAGGGATAAGGGGTCAGGACCACATGGGTGCGTGTGGGAACCACCCTAGCCTGGAAGTCTCCAGTTCCACATAAGAACCAATGCCTCTTAGTCCTATGGCCTAGAGTCCAAGAGTTCTAACACAGGACAGGAAACGTCACACAGGGAAAACTCAGAGCTGGGGCTCTCTACCAGGTCATCACAGTCCACTGGCAGTTTAGGGTCAGGTCATCTTTACCATAAGCAGTGTTGCTAGTAACATGGGTGACATACTACCCTGATCAGGTTTCCAGGGGAACACAGCTGAAAAGTTAACATGAGATTCATTTCCCGCGGATACACATGGACAAAATACTAGGCTTTAGCATTGCAGGAAAGTAATAAAATTGAAGTAATAATTTATATTTTTAGTCTGTAATAAATCAAAGATGCATGTTGTACTTTTAGCTAATCACTAAAAGAACAGTTAAAGAATGTATAATTAAGGGAAAATGGAATAATAAAAAACATTTGATTAATTCATAAAGGAGGCAAGGAAGACAAAGGAATATAAAACAGGTGGGTGAAATAGAATGCAAATAGTAAGATGATAGCAATAAACCCAGTTTATCAGTGATCACAGTAATAACATAAAAGGACTGCTTACCTCAATTAGAGTGCTCACATCAGACTAGGTTAAAATGTTGAACCCAATTATGTGCTATTTACAGATAACACACCTGTAATAAGATACAAAACAGCTGAAGTTAAACAGATGGAAAAAAGATAACATCAAATAAATACTAATCAAAAGAAAGTTGGTGTAACTATGCTAATAACAGACAATGTAGAATTTAAGGCAGGAAGCATTACTCTATAGATAAAGACAATTCATAATGATAAAGTGGTCCGTCCACCAGAATATTGAAAATTGTGTATCTATACAGAACCAGTATCATAGGTTCACATTATATAAACAGACATTAAAATTGACAGATGTAAAAGGAGCAATGAATCCATGACCAAAACAGACTTTAACATACCTCTTAATAGGTGATAGAACTAAGCAGACAAAAGATATGATATAGAACATCTGCTAATATACACACCTGACATAACTGATGTTTATATCATGCCACATGCAACTGTAACAAAATTCTTATTTTAAAAATGCATATGGAACATCTACCATACTGATCACAAGTTGAATCATAAATTAAGCCTCAATTAAATATTAAACCATTGAAATAACTTAGAGTTTATTTTCTATTCATAATGGAATTAACCTAAAAAGATCAGAATAAATAAGGATAGAAAATTCCCAGTGATTTTGGTGAAATTAGTAGTGTACCTCTTCCTGTTGGCTCAAGATGGTGAAGAATCTGCCAGCAGTGTAGGAAACCCAGGTTCAATCCTTGGGTCAAGAAGATCCCCCTGGAGAAGGGAATGGCTCCCCAGTCCAGTATTCCTGCTTAAAGAATTCCATGGACAGAAGGGCCTGGTGGGCTGCAGTCCATGGGGTCACAAAGAGTTGGTTGGTCACAGCTGAGCAACTAACACTTTCACTTTCTGAATAACTCACAATTTGGTCAAGAAAGCAAAATTAGAAAATACTTTTAAATGAATGACAATAAAGATTTGGTATATCAAAACTTGTGGGATGCAGCTAAAGCAATGCTTGAGGAAAGTTTGTAGCCCTATAAATTAATGGATATATTAAATTTAAAAAAACAGGCTGAAATTAGTGATCTATGCTTCTATCCCAAGAAGCTTAGAAAAAGAACAAAATTAGACTGAGATATTTCTTGCCTCTATCTTTGGCAAAAATTCAGAAGTTTGATAGGTCACACCCTTGGTGTGACCTTGGGGAAACTGGCACTGTCATACACTGTTAGGAGAAATGCAAAATAGAATAACCTCTCTGAGAGGAAAGAGATATCTAGCAAACTATCTAGCAAGATTATACATTCATCCAGCAATCCTATTTTGAGGAATATTTCCTTAAAATACAGTAACAAAAAAATTATCTGACAAAAATACCTATGAGTAAGACTGTTGATTGCAGTCTGACTTGTATTAGTGAGCAAAAAACAATCCAAATGCCCAGTAGTAGGGGGTTGATTGAATAAACTGTCCACTGTGGTTGTTCATTGTGTGTGAAATCCACACAGTGGAGCTTCTGCAGCTGTCAGAATGAATGAGGACAATCTCTATAAACATATGGAATAATCTCCAGAATACAGCAAGTGAAAAAAAGAACAATTAAAAAAAATTATACCTCAGATTACTACTTACATCTTTTTAAAATAGCAAGTTGTAGGGAGGGAGAATATTTGTAGAAAGAAACATTTTAAAATGAAAAGACTAACTTTGAAAAAAAAATTTTAAATGCTGTCCCATGGAAGGAAGCTAGAAATAGGATAGAAAAGACAGGAAATAAAGCTTGATTTCCTTGAATCAACTTTTTTGTTTTGTTTTGTTTTTTTACTTTGAAACCAAATATTTTGCATAATTATAAAAAATCTTTAAATAAGGTAATTCCTAATTAAAAGTAAAGTTAATTGAGCCTAACTGTGCACTCCACTGGTAGTATAACCACATCAGGAGGAACTCTTCCAAGTGACCTTAACACAGTTACTTGGCTGCACATCTCTAATGAAATGTACCCTAAGAGCAAAAGGAAACCTTACGCTGTTTTCAATAGCACTGTTGTTAATAATGTTTATGTTATTCTTTTGGGATTGTAGGTGTATGTACTGCAAAGTAAATGAGTAATTTTGTTGGTGATTTGGAAACTGGAATTTTGAGTATGGGTGAAAGGACATAGAGATGTGAGAACAATGATGTAAACATCTTTAGTCTTAAACTGAAAGTATTAGTCAGAATTCCTGATATATTTAATTGATATCTTTACACATATGCTGGCTTTATTTTGCTGAAGACTAGAATCTATAACTAGCCCAGTATTAGTAAGCACCCTCCCTACCCCGATTGTGATCTTTAGATAATTTTCCACTTTAAAACAAAGTCTATAATAAAAGACAAAGAAGGGCATTATATGATGATAAAGGGATCAATACAAGAAGAGGATATAACATTCATAAGCATAAATGCACCCAGTACAGGAGCACTTAAATATATAAAGCAAATAATAAAAGACCTAAAGATTGACAGTAATAGAATAATAATGGGGGGCTTTAATACCTGACCTATATCAGTGGACAGATTAATCATCCAGACGGAAAATCCGTAAGGAAACAGTGGCCTTAAATGACATTAGACTACTTGGCCTTAACAAATATCTATAGGACATTCCAGGCTTCCTTGGTGGCTTAGATGGTAAAGAATCTGCCTGAATTGCAGGAGACCCAGGTTCAATCCCTGGATCGAGAAAATCCTCTGGACAAGGAAATGGCTACCCACTCTAGGATTCTTGCCTGGAGAATTCCATGGACAGAGGGCCCTGATGGTCTCTGATCTCTGGGGTTGCAGGAGTTGGACACAGCTGAGCAACTCACACACACACACACATTCCATCACACACACACACACGTTCCATCCCCAAACAACAGATTACACATTGTTTTCAAGTGCACATGGACTATTCTCCCAAATGGATTGCATGCTAGGACACAAAACTAGTCCCAATAAATCTAGGCGCATAGAAATTATACCAACCATCTTATCTGACCACAACAGTATGAAAACTAAAGATCAATTACAAAACAAAAATGGATCATAAGAGAATACTATGGGGAAAAAAAAAAGAAAAATAGAGAATACTGTGAACAGTTACATGCCAAGAAATTGGATAACCTAGAAGAAGAAATGGATAAACTTCCAGAAACATACAATCTTCCATGACTCAATCAGGAAGAAATAAATAATCTGAACAGACCAACTACAAGTATTAAAATTGAATCAGTAATCAAGAAGCTACAAAAAACAAAAGTCCAGGACTAGATGGCCTCACAGGGCAATTCTATCAAACATACAAAGAAAAGTTAATACTTACTCCTCTCAAAGTATTCCAAAAAACTGAAGAGAAGGCAGTGCTCCCGAATTCATTCCACGGGACAACGATTACCTCGAGTACATGAGTATGGCCATGAGTTGTTGATAAATGTTGAATCTAGGTGGTGAGCACATGGAGTTCATTATACTGTTTCCTTTATTTGTATATGCATTTGAAAATTTTCATTATAAAACACCTAAAAGGTGTAATCACAAAGGTGAGCAAAGAAATGGCATGTCAAAAAATGAGTAGGCAAATTTCTAAAAATTACATACATCTTAAACTAAAAATATATTTGTGTAAGTAATTAAGTCAAATACCCAGTGGATGAGTTAGATTAGATTTAGTCACAATTAAATAATCAGTGAATTGCAAGCTTTATGTAAAAAAATAAATTACCTGGAGTATTATAAAGGTAAGGAAATAAGCAAATCAACAGATTGAGGAAGCACCAGGTGTCCCAAGCTGGGTAAATAAAAAGAAATCCACGCCAAGATGCATTATGGCAAAGACAAAAGATATCTTAAGAGCGTCTGTTTCAGTCAGGATCCGTCAGGAAAGCAGAAACAACATTACGTATTTTCAAAAACCAAATTTAATTTAGAGAACTGATTACAGGCAGGCCTTGTTTTATTGCAGTTCACTTTATTGTGCTTGGCAGACGCTGCATTTTTTTGCAAATTGAAGGTTTGTGGCAACCCTGTCTTGCGCAAGTCTATCGGTGTGATTTTCATTTTCTCTGTGTCACATTTTGGTAATTCTCACAATACTTTGAACTTCTTCATTACTACTTCTGTTATGGTGACCCATGACCAGTGATTTTTGATGTTACTATTACCACTCACTAAGGTTCAGCTGATTGTTACCATTTTTTAGCAAGGAAGTATTTTTAATGAAGGTATGTACATAGGTTTTTTTTTTTCTTTCTTTTTTTTTTTTTAGGGCTTCCTAGGTAGCTCAAACAATTAAGAATCTGCCTGCAGTGCAGGAGACCTGGGTTTGATCCCTGGGTCAGGAAGATCCCCTGGAGAAGGGCATGGCAACCCACTCCAGTATTCTTGCCTGGAGAATTCCATGGACAGAGGAGCTTGGTGGGCTCCAGTCCATGGGGTCACGAACGACTGAATGGCTAACACAACAACATATAGTTTTTTAGACACAATGCTACTGCACACACAATAGACTACAGTATTAAATGTAAACATAACTTCTATATGTACTGGGAAACCAAAAAGTTTGTGTGACTCACTTTTTTGCAATATTCACTTCATCGTGGAGGTCTGTAACCAACAAGCAATATCTCCGAGACATGACTGTACATTGTGGTGGAGGGCTGAAAAAGAGAAAAGGAAGCACCTGGGTAAATCAGAGATATGCACTTAGGGCATGGGAAGGCAGACCCTTGGGGTTTCTGAAATCTAGAGCTCACAGGCAAGAGCTCTGGGTGAACTAGAGTTCCTGCTTCTGGGGAGGGAGCATGGGCTGGTCACTGGGTCGGGAAGTGCTGCCCCAAAAGTGCTGCCAGAATGACCAACTGGGACAGCATGCCAACTGAGAGAAGTCCCACGCCTTCTTGCCTTGCAATTGCCTAGCACTCATGTTTGCAGAACTTAACAAGAAGCCTGCTAGCAAAGGAGAAATGTGGTTTGCAGTGTTCAGCCACAACTCCACAAAGCAGATTGTACAACTTTGGATTTGCATCTGAGAGAAAAGAGCTTAAGAAATATAACAGCAGCCATTCATTCAACAGATATGTAGAGGAATGTGACTAAATGTTTCTCATAACAACTGTCTAATCCAGTTTTGGAAGGATACTGGGCCCCCAGAATTGTGCCCCCTACAATGATGGAAGAATAAAGGCACTTAAAGAACTGGAAAAAGTTTACCAAGAGCCACACCCTAAAGGAACTTTTCTATATGATAACTAAAGAAAAACTATCTCAAGCAAAGGAAGATTTACTAAGCAAATAAAATTAAACAGGTATACAAACCCAAACAAACACTGTAGAAAACAGTTTGAGATTTATTTTTTAATGACTAAACAAATTCTGGACAAATGTACATTTGAGAGTGGGATGAACAGAGTTAAGGTATTGAAAGGCCCTTTTTGTGTTCAGGAGGAGTGAGTTAGAATGTTGCTTGGATTTTAAATTAAAAATTGAGTAGAAATTTAAGGGTAACCTTTTGAAAAATGTGCAAATCCCAAACCTGTGAGGATAAAATAATGGAGTAAGAAAAGGACCAAAAAAAAAAGATCCAAGAACTGCTCAAAAAAAGGAAGAAAAAAATTCAAGAATCTGGATAAAAGAAACCAAGAACTATAATAACAGTCTTTAATCTACAGTGTAAATCACACTAATGTCAAATTGGAAATTTTTTAAAGGAGCTACATTTTTTTAAGTCATACCTAAAACATAGTAGAAATGTTGAAAATAACAGGAAAATATTAATCAAAAATGAATATACTATCAAAAGGTAGTAAAGACAGTTACATTAATTACCTGAAAAGATATATTTCAGAGCTGAAAAATTAAGGTCAGAGAGAATGACCATGTAATGATAAAAGCTTTAATTCACCAGAAATATATACCAGAAAAAGAAGTGCAAAAAGGCAAAATGGTTGTCTCAGGAGGCCTTACAAATAGCTGAGGAAAGAAGAGAGGTGAAAGGCAAAGGAGAAAAGGAAGAATATATCCATCTGAATGTAGACTTCCAAAGAATAGCAAGGAGAGATAAGAAAGCCTTAACTATACAAAAAAGATCTTAGTGACCCAGATAACCACGATGATATGATCACTCACGTGGACCCAGACATCATGGAGTGCAAAGTCAAGTGGGCCTTAGGAAGCATCATTACAGAGCTAGTGGAGGTGATGGAATTCCAGCTGAGCTATTTCTAATCCTAAAAGGTGATGCTGTGAAAGTGTTGCATTCAGTATACCAGCAAATTTGGAAAACTCAGCAGTGACTACAGGACTGGAAAACGTCAGTTTTCATTCCAATCCCAAAGGAGGGCAATGCCAAAGAGTGTTCAAACTATCGTACAATTGCAGTCATCTCACACGCTAGCAAAGTAATGCTCAAAATTCTCCAAACTAGGCTTCAACAGTACATGAACCAGATGTTCAAGCTGGATTTAGAAAAGGCAGAGGAACCAGAGATTAATTGCCAACATCTGTTGGATCATCTAAAAAGAGAGTTACAGAAAAATGCCTATTTCTATTTCATTGACTATGCTAAGACCTTTGTGTGGATCACAACAAACTGTGGAAAATTCTTCAAGAGATGGGAATAGCAGACCACCTTACCTGCCTCCTAAGAAATCTGTATGCAGGTCAAGAAGCAACAGTGAGAACCAGACGTGGAACAACGGACTTGCTCCAAGTTGGGAAAGGAGTACAGCAAGGCTGCATGTGTACTGTCACCCTGTTTATTTAGCTTGTATGCAGAGTACATCATGCGTATGTGAGGCTGGATGAAGCACAAGCTGGGATCAAGAGTGAAGGGAGAAATAACCTCAGATATGTGGATGACGCCACCCTTATGGCAGGAAGAGAAGAAGAACTAAAGAGTCTCTTGATGAAAGTAAAAGAAGAGAGTGAAAAAGTTGGCTTAAAACTTAGCATTCGAAACTCTAAGTTCATGGCATCCAGTCCCATCAATTCATAGCAAATAGATGAGAAACAAATGGAAATAGTGGCAGACTTTATTTTCTTGGGCTCCAAAAACCAACACATACACACCTTTTTCTGCTGCTGCTAAGCCAGTCAGTCTATTTGAATTTATATTCATAAAATATTAGTCTGTGGTCTAGCTTTAGGAAAAGCTAAAATTTCATCACCCAAATTAAAGGAGAAAAATTATGAAATTGTTTCAGTAGATTGCTTTTGATAAAATTCAGTACATTCATGAACTAAAGGTAATGCAAATTAAGACTAGAAAAGAATTTCTTTAATCTGATGAAAAGAATCCACAAAACATTTTTATCAAAGATAATTCTTAATGGGAGAAGTATTTTAAATAATTCTTTGAAGTCAGGAAAAAGAATGCCCACCATTACCCCTTCTTCTCAGCATTGTACTGAAAGTTCTAGCATAAGTATTAGGAAGAAAAAAACATGTTATTCAGAAATGATGTGATTATCTGCATAGCAAACCTAAAAGAATCTACACACAAATTTTTAGAAGTAACAATGTGTTATCAAGGTAGTTGCCTGTCAAGTCAATAAATAAAAATACGTTACATTTCTATACAGCAGCAATAAATATTAGAAAACATAATTTTAACACATATTTACTTTGTTACAAAAATATTAAGTTCCCCCCCCAAAAATAATTTATATAAAATTCCCAGTACTAAATCTAACCAGAAAGTCATAAGACCTATGTGCAGAAAGTGATAAAACTTTACTGAAAGACATTTTAAAAGACCTAAATAAACAGAAGGGTATGTAATGTTCATGGATAACAAGATACATACCATAAACATATCACTTTTCTACAATTTGATTTATAGAGTCAATACTGTTAGACTCAAAATAACAGTGTTTTTTTTTTTTTTTTATGGCTCTTGAATAGTAGATCTTTACATTTATATGGAAGGGTAAAAAATAGATATGACATTCATGAAAAGAAGAATAAGGTTGTGAGAATTGCCTTTTGTGAAAAACTATAAAACAAAACATTATGCCACTTGCTCAAGGAATAAACAAAAGTAACAAAGGTGAATAAAAGCCTGTAGCCTATACAGTCTCTAGCTTACAAGAGCTATGCAAAATCAATGGGGAGATGAGGGCTATTCAGGAAGCTTTCTAGGGCAGTTACTTAATTTCAGTCGGCCCCTCACATCCTACACAAAAAGTGAATTCCACATGAATTAAGGACTCAAGCATCAAAAACAAAACTTTAAAAATTAAAATATGAGAGATGATCTTTCTGGCCTTGAAGTACAAAAAGGTTTCTTGAAGAAGATTATAAAAGCACAGGCCAGAGAAGAGAATGTTAATAAGTTCAACTACATTAAAGCTTGAAATGTTTTAATTAAAGACATTTTTTTTAATTAAAAAGAAGCCAGAGTAAGGAAAATTCATGTAACACACTTAGCTTATAAGGATTAATATGCAGAGCATGGAAATAAAGTGATGGGAAAGATAAATAAGATAGAAAAAAGGTATAGAAAAGATATTAACAGACATTTGACAGAAAACAATTAAGACCAATGTGTTTATGACCAATAAAGAAGAAACAGTTCTCAATCTCACTAATAGTCAGGAAATACAAGTTAAGGCTACAGTAAGATACCGTTTCACCCCCACTGATAATACTAAGAGTTAGAAAGGCTAGAAAGCAGGAGGCACTTTTAAACATTGCTGGTAGGACTGACTTGTTGTAACACCTTTAGGAAGCAATTTGGCTTTCTCTGGACATTTGCATATCCTGTGATGTAGCAGTTCCATTCCCATGTATATAGACTAGAGAAACTCTTTGCACATTTATTGACAACAGGAAGTAACTCAACCCCCTCCACCCATTTACAGAAAATGGATAAACACATTATGGTATATTCACTTAATGGACATTTAATTGTGTATAAAGGGAATTGAATGAACTAAGAACTACATTCAGCAACATGGCATGCTTAAGAGTATTGAGTAAAAACCCCCAAGTCCCAGAAGACTGCTTACAGTATGATACCATTTTTATAATGCACAGGAAGTAAATTAAGCATTGTATTGTTGGGGTAAATATGTGTGTGTGTGATAGAACAGTGTTTAAAAGGAGCAGTGGGGTAATAAACAGAACACTTGGGATAATGTGTGCCTCTGGAGCAAAGACAGGACAGCACAGTGAAAAGAACACACAGGTAGATGCAAGGTAACTCACCACCCCCACCACCATTTACAGAAAATAAACACATTATAGTATATTCACCTAGTGGACATTTAATTGTGCAGAAAGGAAATTGAATGAACTAAAAACTACATTCAGCCTCATGGGTGAATCTTAGGAGGGTAGTCATTTCTGGGATATTTATTGTTTTATGCTTTACAGCATTAAGTGTACATTTTATATAATTACATATTATCCATGTATATATATATGTTTGTAACACACAGATATAAGGTGCGTCAGATATTGGCAGTAAGTGTGTTAGTCACTCAGTCGTGTCCGGCTCTTTGTGACCCCATGGACTGTAGCCCGCCAGGCTCCTCTGTCCATGGAATTTTTCAGGCAAGAATACTGGAGTGGGTTGCCATCTCCTACTCCAGGCATATTCTTTGGAATGTGTCAGATACTGGCAGTAAAGAAAGGTAATTTTATTTTCTTAAAAAAAAAAAAAGAACCCTTGGATAAGCCAGTCAGAGGACCCAGTCATTAAGAACGAGGGATGCATCCGGCTCGCTTCAGAGCTGTGTGCAGCCCCACTCACGCCAAGAAGCAGAGCCAGCAGATTATTCAAGGAAAGACGGGCCCTGGTTACATCCAGCCCGCTGTGTTCCGGGCATAAAGGCTACAGACAGGAAGCTCTGAACGTATACGGTTGTATAGTTTGTTAGGGCTGCCGTAGCAATACTGCCAGCAGGATGACTTAAACAACAGAAATGTATTCTCTCAGTGCTGGAGGCTACAAGTTGAGCATCCGGGTACCAGCAGGGTGGTTTTCCTCTGAGGCCTCTCCTTGGCTTGCAGCTGGCTACCCTCTAGGCAGCTGTTCACGGGCTCATCGTCTGCACAGAGGACACTGATGTGTCTCTTTCTCTTCTATAAATCCACTTACATTAGATTTTGTTCTTTAGTCACTAAGGCATGTCCGACTCTTTTGCTACCCCATGGACTACAGTCCATGGGAGGACTGTAGGACAGTCCATGGGAGCCCACCAGGCTCCTTGTCCATGGGATTTCCCAGGCAAGAATACTGGAGTGGGTTGCCATTTCCTCCTCCAGGGGGTCTTCTCGACCCAGGGATCAAACACGCATCTCCTGCATTGCAGGTGAATTCTTTACTGCTGAGCCGCCTGGAAAGCCGGTTATATTAGATTAGGGCCCCACAATAATGACATTTTTAACTTAGTCTGCCCTCTAAAGACTATTTCTAAATACAGTCACATTCTGAGATACTAGGGATTGAGACCTTAACATATGACTCTGGAGAGACACAATTCACCCCATGACAACAATCTCAGAGAATAATTTTCCCATCAACCCTTCTTAAGAAAATTATTAGAAGATAAACTTTAGCCAACCAAGAGATGACTAGGGCAGCCACACAGAACTAATGTCAGTGATCAAGGAATATATTTACATGTAGAACCAACACAAAAAGAAGGCAGGAAATAGTATTCATATCACCCTATGTGCCCCACCAATGAAAAATTATAGAATTACAAAAAAAAAAAAGATTGAAAGGACAAAGTAAGAAGGAAGCAGAGTAAGTTTTCCAGTTGCCTCAACCAGAATGGCTGGGAGTTGGAAACATCCATCAAAAGGGGTAAATGAAACAGGGAAATTAAAAATTAGATGTAGATTAACCCAATATCGGGCCTACATTACGGGCTTCCCAGGTGGCGCAGTGGTGAAGAGTCCACCTGCCAATAAGAGACACGGGTTCAATCCCTGGGTCAGGAAGATCCTCCGGAGGAAGAGATGGCAACCCACTCCAGGACTCATGCCTGAAAAATCCCACAGACAGAGGAGCCTCACGGGCCACAGTTTGCAAAGAGTCAGACACGACCAAGCACACAGACCTGAATTAAGTGACGAAGACTTTGCATATGACAAAGGTAGCATGGGATTTCCCAGGCAAGAATACTGGAGTGGGTTGCCATTTCCTCCTCCAGGGGATCTTCCCGACCCAGGGATCAAACACGCATCTCCTGCATTGCAGGTGAATTCTTTACTGCTGAGCCGCCTGGAAAGCCGGTTATATTAGATTAGGGCCCCACAATAATGACATTTTTAACTTAGTCTGCCCTCTAAAGACTATTTCTAAATACAGTCACATTCTGAGATACTAGGGATTGAGACCTTAACATATGACTCTGGAGAGACACAATTCACCCCATGACAACAATCTCAGAGAATAATTTTCCCATCAACCCTTCTTAAGAAAATTATTAGAAGATAAACTTTAGCCAACCAAGAGATGACTAGGGCAGCCACACAGAACTAATGTCAGTGATCAAGGAATATATTTACATGTAGAACCAACACAAAAAGAAGGCAGGAAATAGTATTCATATCACCCTATGTGCCCCACCAATGAAAAATTATAGAATTACAAAAAAAAAAAAGATTGAAAGGACAAAGTAAGAAGGAAGCAGAGTAAGTTTTCCAGTTGCCTCAACCAGAATGGCTGGGAGTTGGAAACATCCATCAAAAGGGGTAAATGAAACAGGGAAATTAAAAATTAGATGTAGATTAACCCAATATCGGGCCTACATTACGGGCTTCCCAGGTGGCGCAGTGGTGAAGAGTCCACCTGCCAATAAGAGACACGGGTTCAATCCCTGGGTCAGGAAGATCCTCCGGAGGAAGAGATGGCAACCCACTCCAGGACTCATGCCTGAAAAATCCCACAGACAGAGGAGCCTCACGGGCCACAGTTTGCAAAGAGTCAGACACGACCAAGCACACAGACCTGAATTAAGTGACGAAGACTTTGCATATGACAAAGGTAGCGTCACAGTGAGGGAGAGATGGATTATTCATTAAATCATATTAAGGCAACTTAATAGCCATCTGGAAAAAAATAAATTGGAGCCTTATCTTTTACTTTACACCAAGTTAAATTCTAAGTGGATCAAATATTTAAATGTGAAAAGTGAAACTACAAAAGTTCTGGGGAAAACATATGGTAAAAATTCTTGATAACCTTGGAGTAAACCAGACTTTCCTAACTACAGTTGAAAATCCAGAAGCCACTGGAAATAGATTAATAAACTGAACTATGTAGAAATTTAAGATTTGAAAACTATGATCCAGAGAGGTTAAATATTTATTTAAAAAGGCTATAATAGTAGAATCAAGCTTGTGGGATGGTTACTAGGGTCAGTGAGAGGGTGAACGTAAGGTGCGAGGCAGGCCAGCAGCGCCAGGTAAATAGTTAAATGGTCGTGAACTTGTGTTGCGATTCCCAATCTTGGTGGTAAATTAGTATGTTATTTAAGAGACATCCGCTTTAACCGACCTTTTCTTTGCAGAACCAGACGTCCTGGGTCCTTTCCAGCATGGCAGCTCTCTACTGGAGAGTCAAAGGCCAGGGGAAGAAGGCGATCGACTGCCTGCGCCAGGCCCTCCACCACGCGCCGCACCAGATGAAGGTGCGTGGGGCTCCCAGGTGGGAGCGTCCATCCCTCAGTTGCTTCCTGCACCCGCTGGTTTGTCCTGAGGTTTCATCAGCCTTCCTCTTGCTCAGCCTGTAAGGAAGCAGCAAGAGGCTAAGGGTGGGAAACCTCAACGACCCACCGGTGCTGCCACAGGCCTGAGTTACACTCGCCGTCGTGGCCTCCCCACCTCAGCAAGCGGGGCCGTCGGGGAAGGGCTTCAGCATCCCAGAAGAACACCATCAGGAGCAGGCATGGCCGAGTCGTAAATGCAGCTCCAAGTGCGGCTCTGCCTCTCACCGCCATTGTGATTACTTTGTGACCTTAGGCAAGTTCTTAAACCTCTGTGACCTCATATAATGATGTATCCTGTGGGTGTCCAGCAAGGACAAACATGGGTCTTTTTTTTCTGTTCTTCTGTATCTTCTGTAGAAGAACCCAGTGATATAGAGAAATGCAATATAGATCCCAGTTTCTCAGGTTACACATCTACAGGGGGCTTACCAGGTGGCACTAGTGGTAAAAACCTGCCTGTCAATGCAGGAGACACAGGAGACTTGGGTTCTATCCCTGGGCTGGGAAGATCCCCTGGAGGAGGGCATGACAGCCCACTCTAGTGTTCTTGCCTGGAGAATCCCACGAACAGAGGAGCCTGGCGGCCTACAGTCCATAGGGTTGCAAAGAGTCGGACAGGACTGAAGCGACTGAGCACACATCTAAAGGGAATAAATATTTGTGATATTAGTAAATATTTGTGCTAATAATACTGCAACTTTTTCAGCCCATCATCCTGTGCCCTATACTTCTAGGCTACCACTAGGCTCCCCAACAGGAAGGGCCAAGACGCTGGATCAGGGGTCAGGGAATTTTTCTGTGAAGGGCCAAATAATACACATTTAGGCTCTGAGACCAGCCTGCCTCTTGCAGCCACTCAGTTCTGCCATGATAGCATGAAAACAGCCCCAGAAGTACCTCGGGGAATGGGATTGATGAGGTCCAATAAAAGGTTACAGAGTGGGGCAGCAGGCTGGCCGTGGCCTGTGGCCACAGCGCGCCAGCCCTGCCTCAGGGCGCCGTGGTCCTTGCAGAGAACAGCTCGGCTCTGTGACAGTGAGCCTCAGTGTGGACCGTGGACAGAGTCGGGCCCCCAGCTGCTCCTTACAAGCTGCAGGTGACCCGGCGCTGGCGCCACGATGGAGAGCAGCTGCCTCACTCAGCAGGTGGTTTACCCTGCTAGCATTTTTGTTTGTTTTTGAGATAAGACTCTCCCATAGAGAGAAGTGCACAGCTGAGCTGGCACACGCTCCCCCCCCTCACAGACCCGCAGCAGACAAGCCCCCACATCAACCTGCACGGGTGTCCTTCGCCAGGGAACACTGACCACATTGCCTACGGCCACCACAGCCGAGAGTGAACGCCCAGAAACCAACGTTCTTCCCTTCTCTCCCAGGACGTGCCCCTCATCAGCCTGGCCAACATCCTGCACAACGCCAAGCTCTGGAACGACGCCGTCATCGTGGCCACCATGGCGGTGGAGATCGCGCCGCACTTCGCCGTCAACCACTTCACACTGGGCAACGTATACGTGGCGATGGTGAGGCTGGCCTGGGAGCGGGGCGAACCCCCTCTGCTGCCTTCTGTCAGGGCCACGTCTCTAGTTCCAGACCCCCTGACTCTGTCAGTGTCCCCTGGTTTCCTGGAAGCTTTGTGTCTAAAGTTGTAGCTCTCTACCACAGGTATAATTCATGGTAGGGGATTTGTAAGTCTTTAAAAGAACAAAGTAAACTCACCCAAGTATCTACAACTGTGTAGTTCCTCACCATGAATTTAACACTAACAGGCCCATTTACCTGCCCTCTTCTGCAGACTGCACCCTCCCTAACACTCCAAGTGGACACACACTCGGGCTCGCTTACTGCCAGGCCGGGCCAGGTCCCCAGGATTGCTCTCACGGTGCCCTGTGCAGATCTCTCTTGTTGTCTTTTCACCTTGTTTTATAATTTTTGTGTTGAGCAGTAGTCTCTCCCACCAGACCAAGAGCTCCTTAGGAAAGAAATTCCTCTTCATCTCCCCATTCCTGGCACTTCACAGGGTTTGGCACATAGTAGGTGCTCACCAAAGGTTTAATGAATGGCGGAATGCCACTAGTTCCCTGGGATACCATTTATAGCCAAAATGGCAAAGCCATCATCCAGAACCCTGTTGGGTCAGAAGGAGGACCAGTTTCAGAACTCAAAAGTCCCAGGGGTCCCCCAGAAGCTGTCATAGCTGAATCTAGGAAATGAGAGTCATGCCATCCACTTTCATCCAAAGTTTAGGGTCCCACATGAGGCTCTTTCCAAGGTGCTCTTGATAAAGGCTAATGTAACGAGCAGCTTCAGGCTCCAAGTTGTGTGTGTCATCCTTGACTTCAAAGGCAAGAAATATAATTTGGCCAGGTAGGTCTTGCTGAATGTGCAGATTTCCCTCTCTGCTTCTTAAAATTGAAGAATCTATTTTCGTCCCCAGTAAATGCAAAATTTGCTGCTATGAATGAGAAATTCTGCTTCTCATTTGGCTGGAAGGAGTCATTTAAGCGGTAGATTCGGGCTCTTCTTTGGGAGTATTAGTCTAAGTAAAAGATGAACGCCTTCCGTGTGGCAGTGATCATTTCCAAACTGGGTTCATATTTTCAAGTGTTAGGGAGAATAAGAAACTGCTTAAAAATTTACAAGTCTAATTGAGGTACCTGACTTGACTTCCTTCTTTCCAGTTACAGTAGAAAATTCAAGCAAATGCAAAATCAGCTTTTGCCAGACATAGTTCTAGTGGTTTCCGTGAGGATTACAGGAAGGGATTCCACACAGCACCTGGCTCTGCGCCTGGCACGCGGCAGGGCGCAACGACAGCGGTTCTTACTGTCACTCCTGTCGTTGGACCAGATCTCTGGAGAGCTGGTCTGCCCTTTGCCTCTGGCTCCCGGGCTGTGCCATAGTTTCTTTGTAATCTGTGACCTCGGGGACGGAGGTGGTTGTCCCCTCCACCGCAGAGATTTAGATGCACTGAGAAAATACTGCAGGACCATCACTGCCACAGACACGCTCTCCAGGAAAAAAGACGTCACCACCTCTGCTGAGCCTGGTGGTCATACCCCTCTCACTCTGCCCCTCCGCCCCTCACAGGAAGAGTTCGAGAAAGCACTGGTGTGGTACGAGTCGACCCTGAAGCTGCAGCCCGAGTTTGTCCCCGCCAAGAACCGAATCCAGACCATCCAGTGTCACCTGATGCTGAAGAAGGGCCGGCGCTCTCCCTAGCTCATCCCTCCCCTCTCTCCCGTCTCTCTTCTCACGCTCTTCAAAAAAATGAATAAGAAACCAATCATTGTCAGTATCTGCTTTTAATGATGTGTGTGAAAATAACTGAATAAGACATATAACAGGACTTTTACATTTGTGGGAATTGTTTTGGTTTTGTTTTTAAGTTCCTTCTTTCCCCCAGCCAACCTCAGAAACGTAAATTTGTTAAAAGGAAAATGCAGCTTAAAGATACCATGTAAATACTGAGCCAAGACATTTCTGGAGCGTGCTCTGTCTCCAAGACCTCGATGCCTTTAGGGCTTTTCTCAGTGGTCCAGCCAGCTTCTTCCGCTCCGGCGGAGGACGAAGCCACATGGCACCTTCTCTGCTTCTCGTCACAGCCTCTGTCGTCCATGGAAATGCAGAAGCCCGTCCGGTGCCCGTCAGCAAGAAGCACTGTCCCGCGCTCTTCCCACTAGCTCTCCACGCTGCCCCCCCGGCCTTGTCCGTTCCATGCTGCTACGTTACAAACTCTCAGAGGTAGTTTGCGGGGGAGGGGGGAGGAAGGGGAAATGATTTTAAAAACAAAATATTTACAACAACAGAAACCCTTAGGATCACCTGACCTTTGTGCTGTTATTTATGTTGGGGAGGGAGGGGGGCTGAGAAGGGGAAATCAGCAGTGTACAACATCGCTATCATTTGTACTTTAAATTGCAGATCACAAGGAAACCAATACGTTGACATCCTGTATAACAGGTTTATATATATAGAATATGTATATTTGAAGCCCTCAGCAGACTGAGTCTGTGTTTTACTAATTCTTTGTTCACTGTGTTACCCATCTTGGAATGAGGCGTGAGTGTTGGCTCCCTCTCCCCTCAGGAGAGTGGGGAGCCAAGGCTGAGTGTTTCCTTGCAATGCTCATACCTCTGGTCCCAGGAGAGTCGGAAACTCCAGGCATTTGGGAATCTTCAAGGGCACATACTGAGGACAAAAATAAAAGTCGTTTATGAACAAAACAGGTCTGTGGCGTGGTTTTTCTTTAGAATCAGGCTCATCCAGGCAGCTCTGAAGCCTCACTGTAACCCTGGGTTGGATCCTCTCACATCCTAGGTTGTCTTTTTGTCTTTTTCCACAACATAAAGCAAGGGGAGAAATAGCCCATCACTAGGTTTTATGATTGATGATCTTACACGATACATTTGACCACGAAAGACGTACAATCAGCAGATGTTCAGAGTTGGTCACTGACCTTCCAGGGAAAAGAAGAAGAACCTAAACCACAAAGTCACGTCCCCTGCGGTGAGCACTGATCCTAACGTTCTTCCAGGTAAGCCTGATGGAGAAGCTTGGTGAGAGTCATACCAGTGTGAAATTGAGCATTCCTTTTGGGACAGGACTCTGCCGAACACGGGGTTCCCTAGAACAGCTATCAGACACCAATCATCTCAAATACTGGGTCACTGAACCCAGAGCATTTGGTTCTAGCACAGACTGTAATTTCTTAAAAGCAGGTGAGCAATCAGACATGCCTGTCCACTCTGTCTGTCTTTTGTGCAGCTAGAGTCCAGCTGATTTCAAGCAGTTTTATCAGATGTATTTTGAGAAGAGGCTCACTTTGTTGCTAGATAAAGTGAAGCTCTTTTCCCTCAGAGTATCTTTGCCTGCAT